ACCCTAAATTTTTTGTTAAACCAGTTAGGTCCGATTATAAAAATATCAATAATATCAAACAAAAGAATTAATCCAAAAATGATATTTTATTTTGCAGTGATGAAGGGGAATATATGGATCAACATTATCTAATCCCGAAAAATAGAGAATGGATTTGGTAATTTGTACTTTTTTGAAAGAATCTACTTTTAAATCAACATTTTGGATTGAAAATGAAATTGGGGAAGACATTGGGCAAAAAAGTGAATTTTTTTGGCCTACGGCCTTTGAAATTCTCAAAATTTTCGCCTGCGGCGCTGAAAAAGGAAGAAATCTAGCTTCTTGGGGAGGACGAATAAATATTTTTTGATTTAATTTTATTTATACTTTTTATTTGGAAATTTAGTCCTACTACTTTTTAATCAAGATTTTGATACTTTTGATTGGCATTTTGTAGATCGGAGCTCTGGATTAAATCCTTTTTTTAATTTAGAAAATTTACTTTTCACTATTTTTAATTAGTTAAATCACCCCAGTTTGTTTTTGAACATCTTTAGGCAATTTTAACAAAAAATTTCTATTAAGAATAATCTAATTTGCGAATTATATTTATTGAAAAGTTGATAAGAGTATTTATCTTTATCCGTTTTCTAGTCCTCCATTGTAATGGAATTGAACATCATTGCATTATTTTTTATATGGATGAGGAGAAAATATTTTAAAGGGGAAAATTACCTTAATTTTATGGAACACAAACAATGGATCGACACCAAAACATAAATGACAACAACTTTCCTAAAAATAATTTGTGAAAAGCATAGCAAATCTTTTTTAGAGAGGTTCGGCAATGTTTAAACTTTTTTAGAAAAAATGAAAAATCTTCAAAATAAATTAATAAACCTAAAATTCATGCAATTAAAGCTATTTAAAACAAAGTTCATTAAGCGCATCTCCATATTTTTCCGTAGTGCCTTCCACATGGTAAAAAATTATAATCTGTAATTAATAGTTCAGTCTGGGTTGTAGGTTTCAACAAATTCCAAGTTTAACCAAAACTGAAAATCTTCAGGGTTTCGGTTCGGTTTGAAACCGACAACCCCAATCCTCAACATAAACTTAAAATTTTAGTAAATTTTAATAACCTTTCATTTTTGTAGGCATTAATCAAGATTTTTAGATATAAAGATCATTAGGAGGTGTTGAAGCTATTGAATGTGATGAAGAATTAAATATATTGAATTTAATTTATAACGTCAAATTCCAAAATTTTTAATTTTAATTTGCAAAAGTATGGAGCTATATTTAATCCAGAAATGATTGAATTATTATTTGAATGTCATAAAATAATAATTCAATCATTTCTGTCTTAAATATATTAAAGTAATAGGCTGGATTATTATAGCAAGAAACCGGATTAAAAATAAATACCAATTGATTTAAAGTTGCCAAAAGTTTTTTCATTATAAACTGCCAGATATTTTGTGATCAATATCTTTAAAATATTTAAAATAAATGTGAAAACAAAGTAGTCGAGTTGCTTCAGATAAAAAAAGAAATAAAAATTTGTTTGATAATCAACAATTTAAAGTTAAAATTAAATTTTCAATTAATTCTTTTAATTTCAATCTCGGAAATCGGCTGATTTTTAATAACATAAATCTCTTCAATATAAACAGAAAATTTCATTTCTGGGTTGTATTTATTGGAAAGTTGATATTTTGTAGATTTTATAGTGAAATTTTCAACGTTGATATCAATATTTTCTGCTCTGTCACTTATCATAAGACGTCCATAAACATCACCTAATAGTATTTCCCTAACCATTCTGGAAAAGTCTTTTGATGTTTCTATATGCTAAAATTAAATAGTTTGTTTTTTAATTAAGACTAGAAATTTTTGGTTCGTAACCGAAATGGATAAGCGATGATTTTTAGGTTGGGTTCTGAATAATTTCAAAGGTCCTCAAAGCTGCTTGACCCTGAAGACTACAACCTTTTAATAACCAAAATTTTTGTTTCTTCACAAGTTTAATCAGGGTATCTAAAAAGGGAATACGGCTGATGAAGGGTTTTGCGGGTTTTGGGGATATCAGTGGATTTGTAGCATTAAAGGGGGAAAGGTCCTTTGCAAAAGGTCCTTTAGAAAAAGTCCTTTGCAAAAATTTTTTTACGGATGTGGACACAAATTATACTAATATAGGAAATTTACATCAGAATGAGGAGAAAATCTTTTATCAAAACTGAAAACATATTTTGGGAAGTTTATTGCTAGCTAAATTTACCGGAAATTTGCCAAGAAAACTTTAGACTATCTCCTAGAACGCTGATTATAGCCTCGAATAAATTAACCTTGTTTGAATTAAAACACTGTTCCAATACAAAAATAACGAGATTTACGTCCTTAACACCGCAGCCCAAAAACATGTGAATTGATTTTTTTATTCCACTTATCCACTAAAATTAATTTATTTTAAAATATTATTAATAGGGTGTTTCAAAATATGCACGAAAAATTCAAAAATATGCTCATATATATGCACCGAAAAAGCCCAAAATATGCATCAAAATATGCCAAATTTGCCGAAATATGCACTAAATATGCAGCAAAAATAATGAAAATGTGTTTTAAAAATCAATATTTTAAGTAAAAAATATAAATTTAGCATTTGAGTTGCAGTTTATGGGGTACACCCCGTTATACCGCGAGCCCAGTATACCGCCGAGCTGGTGTACGGAATTTTCGTCTTTGGAAATTTCGTCTCCAAGACTTTTCGGAATTTTCGTCTCCAACATTTTCGGAATTTTCGTCTCCAGCGGAATATTCGTCACCATGACAAAAAACTGAATTTTCGTCTCCGCAATCCTCGTCTCCTCTAGGAAATTTCGTCTCCAGATGAAAACTTACCCGTTGACGGAACAACTTCCCCGTTGACGGAACTACTTTCCCCGTTGACGGAACACTATCCCTCGTTGTCGGAACAACTTCCCCCGTTGAGTTTGTTCCGTTAACGGTCAACGGTGGATAGTGTTCCGTCAACGGGGGATGTAGTTCCGTCAACGGGGGAAGTTGTTCCGTTAACGGGGGAAGTTGTTCCGTCAACGGGGGTAGTGTTCCGCCAACGGGGGAAGTAGTTCCGTCAACGGGGGAAGTAGTTCCGTCAACGGGGGAAGTAGTTCCGTCAACGGGGGAAGTTGTTACGTCAACTGGGGAAGTAGTTCCGTCAACGGGGAAGTTGTTACGTCAACTGGGGAAGTTGTTCCGTTAACGGGGGAAGTAGTTCCGTCAACGGGGGAAGTAGTTCCGTCATCGGGGGAAGTAGTTCCGTCATTGGGGAGGTTGTTCCGTTAACGGGGGAAGTAGTTCCGTCATCGGGGGAAGTAGTTCCGTCATTGGGGGAGGTTGTTCCGTTAACGGGGGAAGTTGTTCCGTCAACGGGGGTAGTGTTCCGTCAACGGGGGTAGTGTCCATCTGGAGACGAAATTTCCTAGCGGAGACGAGAATTGCGGAGACGAAAATTCCGTTTTTTGTCATGGTGACGAATATTCCGCTGGAGACGAAAATTCCGAAAATGTTGGAGACGAAAATTCCGGCACCCGCCGAGCTATAACTTCGTTCGAAATAGTCGAATCCGGGTGGCCCTGGTATGGGTCGATGCGCCTCAACGAGCTGAATCGAAACATACCAGGGCGTCCTGGATTCGACAATTTTGAACGAAGTTATAGCTCGGCGGTATTCTGGGCTCGCGGTATACTGGCCTGCTCCCCAGTTTATGAGCAATTTTAAAAAATTTTATTAACTTTAAATTCAACCAAAAAAAATTTTTTTGAAAAAAAATTTTCCCGAAAAATTTTTTTAAAAATTTTTTCAACAAATTTTTATTAAAAAATTTTTTGCCCAAAAAATTCCAAAATTTTGAAAATTTTGCCCGATTTTTACTAGAATTTCTCAAAAAATGCCAAAATATGCACAAATTTAGGTAAAAATATGCAAAATTTCCCAAAATATGCCTCGATATGCAAATATGCACGAAAGTGCCGAAATATGCAAAAATATCTATAGGAACCCGGTCCCTAATGTTCGTACCGACGTAAAAACACCATTTTTGAGCGTTTCAGCTCATAGCATATCCGCATACAAAATATGCATATGCATGTTTTGAAACACCCTAATTATTAATTAAACCTTCTTTTCAAGTTGTTCACTTAATTGAAAGTCATTAAGTTTAGGGACTGGTTTAACAAATTTAGGAGTATTTAAACTGTTTTCCTTGATCGAAAGCTTCAGAAAATTTTAAAAAAATTTTAAAAACTGAATTTACAATTTCGACTTTAATTAATTCCATCAATGCCAATTCATCCTCATATTTATTTATCAAATTTTTGAAGTAACGATTTATTTTCTGAATATTTAATAATTGATCGAAATCAAGACATTTATGTAAATATATCTAGCTGATTTTCTTGTAAAAGAAGATTCATTTTTATCTATATTTCTGAAAAAACACAAAATTTTAAACGAGACTGGATTCTGCTCAAGATCTTATTATTATAAGATTAATTTTCTTAAGGTAGTTATTCCAAAACATTTCAAAGTTTCTCTTGAACGTGGAATTCACAGATGCGATTTTACATTATCCAGACTATAAAAACATATTACCCAAATGAGTCTATTAATAAAAAGCTTCTTAAAATATTAAAAAAACGTCATTAAAAACAAGCTGATATAAAATGTCATAAATTGGAATATTTTCTAGCTTTTTGGTCTTTTGTGGGTTGGCTTTTTAATAATTTGGGTCTTTTATGAGTGTGCCCACTGGTCAGCTTTTGTTTCTTTTACATTCGAGGGCGGTCAATAACATACGTATACTCCGTTTATATATTGATTGCAACTTAACTAACGCTTATAATTTTAACCACCCTTTAATAATGAATATATTTAACAACTCAAAATTTTTTTTATTTATTTTTAAAATTTTTTAGAATTTTATTTTCCTTTTATTTTGTCAGATTATTATATTAAAGATGAATTTTCTTCCAGCAGAAGTTCAACTTGATATATTTAAATATCTTGATTCAGATCAATTACTATCTTTTCAACAAACAAATCTTTACTTCAAAAGCTTTATTAACAAATATAAGGAAGAATTGGCACGGAAGAAATTTTGTTTTATTGAAATTGTAATCTCTTATAGATTGACTTTATTTTTAATATATTTTTAGCGTTATATTAATGAGAACTATTTAAATGATTATATCTTCTTTAAACCAGAACCCAAACTTTATGACATTCAATTGAGTAAAAAACTTGAGAGAAAGGTTGAAAATGAATATTTTTTAACTAAAAATTAATTTTAGTGGAAATATGCAATAGAAGAATCTTTTCCAACATTTTTAAGTACTACTGAAGCACAATTAACGATAGCTGCCCTTGTTGTGGAACCAACATATAGTAATAAATATGACAAAATAATAAAATAATTTTAAGAGAGCCCCTTTATTCTTAATAGATTTTTAGAAATTTGGACTTTATTTTTCTCAGTCTCATTTTTCCTCATTTTCTCTATAGATTTTTTCTCTTCCAATTTTATTTTAAAAAGTCATAAATCTTAAAAATACTACAAAATGGTAAAATATGGCATATGTAGTGAATGTGGAGAAAATGGGAAAAAGTTTAAAAATGGGGAAAGTCCTCTATAAATAGGGTAGAAGAGCAACATGATGTCAGGGTAGCTTTGTGGATAAATTATGAGAATATCCCTACTCTTAAATGAAAATTATTCTTTTAATCATTAAAATTTTATTTAGAATTCTATTTACAATTTCCAAAATTTCCAAAAAATATTGAAGAAATGAAAATTGCTCGTTATTTACTTGAAAAACTATTTAAGTGCACATTTGAATCTGCTCATTTTAATTTCATTATATTTAATCCAAAAATGATTCAATTATTATTTGACGAAAATAAAATAAATATACCTTTACAAATTCATACTCGGAGGACATTTCTATTTAATAACAATAAGCAAACCAAATATTTATTAAAATTTGTATTTAATCATCTGATATCTAATGAATTTAACGTTTGGCCTTCGAATCGACAAAATTTAGGTGTTGCATTTAAAATTTTAACAACTGGGGGAGATAAATTTCCCAAAGTTTGTTGTGACGATACTATCTTCAAATCATCTGTTTACAATTTTATTATACGAGTAAGTTTATAATTTTTTGAAAAATAGTAGACAAAAAATTGAAGTTTAGTAAAAAATGTTCGCGATTAATCGTGTACATATCAATATTTGTTAATAGATTTTTAAAATTATTTAAAAAATTATTTTCAGCATATAGAAACTTCAAAAGATTGTTCTAAAATGGTAAAAGAAATTAGTTTGCGTATTCGTCGACCTCTTATATTGAGTGAAAGAGCAGAAAATATCGAAATCAAAAATGAAAACAACCGTGTAAAATCTACAAAGTATCAACTTTCCAATAAATACAATCCAGAAATGAAGTTTTCTGTTTATATTAAAGAAACCTTTTTGTATAACGATGTTGAAATTAAAAGAATTATTTGACTATATATGTATAGGTATTCTAATAAAAGCATGGCTTTATATACTTTTTGATAAATATGCTTTTTAATTTTTGTTTCTTTTTTTTAAATTTTTTAAAACTAGATTTTATATATAATATTTCGACTAAAAATTTACGGTGTATAATTTTTCTTTTTAAACAACAAATTATATAAAAATAATTTATCTTTCATCTGAAGCTCAGTTATATATTTAAATTCTTTAATTCTGATCAATTATTATCTACTCAACATGCAAATTATTTAAAAATTTTATTAATTTTATTATCTCAATTCGTCCTTTGCCGTGTTTTGATATAGGATCAGAATCCGGAGATCCACTTAATCGCCAACCCTAACCCTGATATGTATAATCCACGTTTTTAAATATAAGTTAAAATATGCTGCCAGAAGGAAAAAGTTTTTTAGGTCAAGGTTTGGCGCCTTTAATTTATTTAATTTTTTAAAATTTATGCAGGACTTCCCTATTTGCATATAATGCATATTTTTGCATATTTCAGACTTTGCTGCATAATGCATATTTTACTGCATATTTTGAGGTTTTTGGGAAAAATATCGCGAAAATGGCCTAAAATCCTGACAATAAGTGAAAATTTAGTAAAAATTTTGGAAAAAATTTGTAAAAATTAAGAATTTTGTAAAAAAAATTTTTTTGTTTATTGGACGCGACCCAAAAATGTCCCACCCCAAAAAGTCACACCGCCAAAACGCCTCATCACAAAATGTCAAACAGAGTATAAGTAAAAATACTCAATTTGTTGAACAATACATGTAAACTGGGAGTATCTTAAAAAATAGGTATTTGAATGTTTTTGGCTAAAAAATGTAAAATTATTAGGTATAAATTGTATTTTACTTGCATATTTGCGTGGATATTTTGGGTTTCTTGCATATTTTCGTGCATATTTCGGCAATTTTTATGCATATTAAAGTGCATATTTTGCATTTTTTAATACATAAAATTCACAGCTCTACTAATAAACATCTTCCTTTCTCAATTTATTTTTAGAATTTTAGAACTTTCTTCATTATCTTCCAATTACTTTCTTTTTTCATTAAATATTCCAAAATTATAACTTCCAAAATTAAATAAAGGTTTTAAATCCAAACCAGGGTTGCCGCCCGAAACAAGAAACCCGATACCCGAAAAGGAAATTTTCCAACCCGAAACCCGTACCGATATAAAAATAAAACCTTACCGTACCCGATATTTTCCACCCCGTGACCCGAAATTGGTTAAAACCCGAAATTTCTAACCGAAAACTTAGCCTTACCCGATTTTTTCAAAATAAATTTATAAAATTATAGAAAGAGGAAAAGGGAAAGGAATATTTATAATTTCTTCCATTTTTCATCATGTTGATCGGTGGTTGAATGGGTAAGGCGACTGGCTCGATATTTTCACAGGGGGTGGGTTCGAGACCACTGGACCACCGAAGAACCCATTTGTATCTAAAAAGAAATTGTTTATATGTGGGGATGCTAAAACTTTGGAGGCTTATAACTCGGTCCCTGGTACCCCGCAGCGAAAATGGTTCAAGATTTACAATAGAAATGGTATGATCTACCTGTCTACCAAATTTCATCCCGAAGTCCCACGGACACCCAAAAGGCTCTCCTTTGTTAAACTAATTAGCCATATAAATTACCTATATTTTTAATTTATTAAGCTACACCTTTTTAATTTTTTCCTCCAAAGAATTAAATTTTCGATTTAAATGTAGAACATCGTCTTGCAAATAATAAATTTTACTTTCATGTTCTGACTTCAGTTTAACAATATTAGTTTCATTTTCAGAATTTATTTTTTGAATTTTTTAAATTATTAGTAAAATTTTTCAATTAAATAAGAATCTAAAATACTTTCAAACTTTGGAGCTGTATTTGTGCTTTTTTTAAATTTCATTCCTTAAAAAAAAACGAAAATACAAATTTTTAATTTCAATTAACTGGAAATAGTATTTAGTTTCGATCACAAATACACCGACAATTAAAAAAAGTACAAAATAAAAATTTAATTAAGTAATAATGACATTATTTCTCCCTTTAGTTTAAAAAATTACATTTTCAGTTTCATACTCCAATAAATTAATCTTCCCATCTGTTTGAATATTTTCCTCTATCAATTTTTTATATTTCTTTTCAAAAAGCTTTTGAAAATATTGTTTGATTTCTTCCCTTCTTTTCTGATTGTCCGGTTTTATGTTTTGAATTTTCTAAAATTTTTTAAAAAAATATTCAAAAATAAATAAAACTTTATCCATTTCTTTCAATTGATCTTCAAGCAAAGAATTTTTCTTTTCCAGATTTTTTGTTTTTTCCTTCTCTGCAATAAAGTTTATTTGAAGATTGTTAAAATTAGTCTGCAGATTTTTGAAATTAGTTTGGAGATTTATTATATCATCGCTAAGTTTATATAGCTTAAATAATTATTTTAATTTATTTTTATTTTTTAAAAATTTACTATATTTTCCAAATCAGAATTTGATGATACATCTTTAGAGAATTGTTAATTAAATTATTTAAAAATGAAAAATTAATCAAAATTTGTTAAATATTTAAAAAAATTAATTTAGAGGAAATAGAATGAAGGAAGGGTATACTAATTATTGGAATTATATACATAAGAATTTTCATTTTTCTGAGACATTTTGCCGTTTGGCATTTACGATTTCCGGCACCTTCGGCAGTATTTTTATTTTTAAAATTCTAATAGACTTTTTCCCAGAATTATCTTAAATCATTTTTTCAATTAAAAATATCCCCTCAGAAAATACAAAATATTTATTTTCGCTAATCCCGGTACATCTTCAAGTGGCATAGTGCAATTATGGTCGGCGGGAAAATCCATAATCACTCCACATGGTCCATAATCACTCCTGTAATTGGTCCATTTTCAATCTTCTTTCTTCCTGCCTTTGAAGATATCTGTTGTATCTATCTTCTCTTCTCAGATCCTTCAGAGTCCAATTTAGTTGTTTCCAGTATGTTTCGAAAGTTCTTTAAAAATGGAATTTTTGAGCTAAAATTAAACGCGTTTTATTTAATATTCCTAATTCATTGTCCCAAAATCTAGTCCAACCCTTGTTTGATTTAGTGCTAGCTTTTTGCCCTCTAAGTGGACCTCAAGAATGGCCGGCCGGACCAGAATTGAGGCGGTTGGTGTTTTGGGACCTAATTTAATGGCCATATATTTTTTAGCTTTGACTGATTTGAAATTCTACTCCCGGACCTGCACACCCGTACATCACTGCCAATTTCACTTCTGGGGAATTGATCTATGGGCCGAGCCGGTTTTTTGCGCGGAAACCGTTCCCTTCAACTCTGCCAACCGGCTTCTACTTCTACCCATACTGCTTCTGCGATGGAACTTTGTGAGATTGCTCTATTGGCCCTCACTTTAAATTATTTTTAGGAAATTCAAGATCTCAATCTGAATAAGAAAATGAAATCAAAAATTTGAAACAAAATTTCCAAAAATTAACTGAAGAAAATAATGAATTAAAAGCTGAAAATGACCAAAAAATTAATTTTTTGGAAGAAAATTAAAAAGGTAATTAGTAATTTAATTTTTAACGAAAAAAGTTAGCAGCACTAATGTGCAGAAACAGTAGTTTTAATCTGCAACTTCTTCCAAATTTTTTCATCAGATCGGTTTCTCTTTTTCCATTATTTTTTCAAGAGTTTTTTAAAAGCTTTTAATTTTTGTATTTTCTTTCCATTTTATGAGTCCATAAAATTAATTAAAGTAGATCTACAAAGAGTACAGTTTTCTCTTTACATTTTGTACGTAAGTCTACAAAAATTATACCCGGTCTCACTAAATTTAATATATTTTCAGGGAATTCAAAAAATAAAGTCTAAAATTTAAAATAAAATTAAAAATTTAAAACAAGAAATTCAACAATTAAAAACTGGAAATGATCTGGAAATTGACGAGAGAGTTCCTTGAGTTGCAAAGTAATTATGCTGATTTATTTAACTTAACCGCTATGAGAAATCCAAGAACTTTGTGTGTTCTTTTAGATTGAAGAGGAAATGAAGAGTTGAGAGATACTGCTGATTTTCAATTAAATCAGTTAATTTTTACTTAAAATTAAAAAAAAGTCGATTAAATGTCGATTAAAAATGAAGGAGACACAAATACAAACTTTGAATTTGATAATACAAGGAAGGGTTAAGAAAATTTTTAATTAAAGGATTTATTGGAAGCATTCAAAATTTTGGGATTATTTAAGAATAAGGACTGCTCTCAAAAATAACTTTGAATCCCCTAAATTAGGAAGGGGAGCTGTTGAACATATTCATGGGGAGGTGTGTGGTAAAGAACTTCAAGTTTCCTACCATAAAAAGTTGTTAAAGTTACCTAATTTTAAATCTTCGAATTCATTGCGAAAGAATCATGCATTCTTTCCCAGCTATTTTTTCTTAACAAAGGACCCTTGACACACAATTTTTTAAATACCTAATTCACATTCCGTTCTTTTACTTAAGGACCTCTAAAAATATGAAATTATTAGGACAACCAAATTGATAAATTAAATAAACTGGTTGAAGAGCTTATAGAAAAGAAGGGATTTTCTGGAGATGGGGATGACCCTGAAGATTGTGGAAGTGTGCTTTCTACTTCTGATTATGAGTGGAAACTAAATTAATCAAATGATTTTTTATATGTACTTAAAGACTTTCATTTTATTTCGTTTGAGGATTAAAAATCGAAATTTATACATGTTAAACGTGTAATAACAAATTTACTGTTTAAATTTCTGCTTTTGTTTGGAGGTGTCGGAAATCGGAATTCCGACCCACTTTTGTTTAATCAAAAAAAGAATAAAAGTAAAAACAATCTTGAAACTCCTTCCAAAAGTTCGCTACCACAATCAATCGTTTGGGAATGGAAGAGAACTTCACCCAGGAATGGGTCGATTACCCGAAACCCGGCCTTTTTTCGACCCGGAACTTGCTCCTTTTCCGTGGAACTTTTCACAAAACAGAGAATATGGTTCATTGACTTTCCAAAGTTTTTAAAATTTTTCGACTGTTGTGCTAAAAAGGAAGAAGTTTGCCTTCGTGGCCCGCCAAACTTTTCAAAATTTTCGCTTCATCTAGATTTGAAAGATTACAAGAAAAGTATTTGATTAAATTTGTTATTTTATCTTGTAACTTTTTTTAGCTTTTATTTTTTCTCGTTTCCCTTTTTAAAATCTGTTTCGGCAGACCCTCTTACATAAGTAGCTAATCGAATGGACAGTCTGAAGATTTATGATTAATTTTTAATGATTTTTAAATTTGACTATTATTTAATTTGTCTTAAAAAATGTTAACTTAAAATAAAGTTCATCTAGTTAGTAACTATACATTTTGAGAATTAAATTCCAACGGTACATACCAGTGCTGGGTATTTGCCATTTGTTGGCTCGGGCTCCGGGGTTTCAAAATCTTGGCTCCGGCTCCGGCTCGAGCTCCGGGGTTTCAAAATCTTGGCTCCGGCTCCGAGCTCCGGGGTTTCAAAATCTTGGCTCCGGCTCCAGCTCCGGAGCCGGCGATTTTCGGAGCCGCTCCATGTTGGCTCCGGACTCCGGGTGGAAATTCAATGAATTATTTTTCATTGGGGGATCTAGGTAGATAAAGGGGGATGTCGAGTGATATAAGAGGATTAAGAGGGTTATCAACGGATTAAGCGGGATTTGGGTGGATTATCTTGTGAATTAAGGGCGATATCGGTGAATTAAGCTGGATTAAGGGGGATTTGATTTATCATTCTCATTATCACTCGCTTTTTTGCGCCGCAGGCAAAAATTTTGAGAAGTTTGGAAGATCCTTAAGCCAAAAATCATCCTTTTTTGCGCCGCAGGCAAAAATTTTGAGAAGTTTGGAAGATCCTTAAGCCAAAAATCATCCTTTTTTGCGCCGCAGGCAAAAATTTTGAAAAATTTGGAAGATCCTTAAGCCAGAAATCATCCTTTTTTGCGCCGCAGGCGAAAATTTTGAAAAAATTGACTCACAGGAGACTAAAATCAATCAATTTAAAAAATTATCCAGCTTTATTTAGTTAAAAAATGCCTACATATTATAATTTATTTTTCAAAGAAAAACAATTATTTAATCATTTTTTAAAAATATTTTTCGAACCTATAACTGGATAAAACTCGGAATCTAACTCACTATCCATTCAACCACAACTACATTACAAAGGAAAAGAAAGAAAATCTTTTTTACCCGTCTCAATTTTCTCTTCATTTTCTTTTCTCGCCTACCATCTTTGCTTACTTCTTTTTCTCTAACCCATCTTTAGGGGTGTATAGCCGGAGCCGTGGGGAATTGGAAAACCTTGGCTCCGGGCTCCGGGGTTTGAAATTCTTGGCTCCGGCTCCAGCTCCAGCTCCGGCTCCGGGGTTTTCAAAATCTTAGCTCCGGAGCCGGCTCCGCCGGAGCCGGCTCCTACCCAGCACTGGTACATACTTTGACTCTATAAACTAAAATTTACTATAAAAGCCTTGTTGATTGTTTCATTCTTCTTTCCAAACACCACAAATCTTCAATCACTTCAACTGTACGTCAACATCATCTAAACCAACAACAAAAACAGCGCTTCATGCTCTTCTGCCTCCTTCATCCAATGGACCACAACACCGGACCTTTGGCAAGGAAGTCGTCAACGTTTTGTGCTCTGCTGCTGGTATCCATCGCTGCGCTCCTAGTGCTTCCAGTTACTGTACAGGCCAACGCTAACGAAGTCGGAGTCGCCAATCACACCTTGTCTGATAACGAGTTGACGGTCAAGCCTGGAAGTATGCAGCTCAAAACGAGTCTTGAATATGACGAATACAAGAAGCATTTTCCGAGTGTCTGTGATTTTAAAATCACTCCCGACAACATGTAAGTTGATTTCCCTTAAAATTTGAGGGAATGTGCAAAAATTTTTAAATTTTCCAGTGAACTTCGATACAAAGGCGACGTTGGGTGCACTGTGGAACTGCTTACCACCAGAACGAACATGATCAAATTCACGACCGGCATAGATTTGACGAAAAGTAGTTGTAACTTGGGTGTTTGCAACAAACGTGCAAATTTCGAGGATGGATTTTCAAATCTGTAAGTTTTATTAAATGCCGATTAGGAAATATTATTAAACAAATATCTTTAAGCATGCCCTTTGCCTACAGCAGAAACAATAAGGATCTCAAAAATCTCAATGATGGTCAGGCCTCTGAGGGGAATGAGTGTGATAAAAAATTCAAGTGCGGCCATAAGTGCATGAATCAGACGTTTCTCGAAGTTTCGTGGTTTAAATGTGATGATGAAATACACGCTCACACCCATCTAAGTAAGAGCATGATTATTTATATTTTTAAATAAGCATTCATTTTAGTTGGTGAATTTGAGTCAGGTCTGGATCTAAAAAAGGATGACAATAAGAAGGAATATAAATTCGATCTGGAGATATTTGACAATAGCAGCTTCAGAATGGATTTTGAGACAGGAAAAGAACTTCTTTACGATACGAAAATAAGTAGCATTTTTTGCGTTAAAAAAGAAGGAGCAATTGTCGAACCAAAAACATGGAAAATCACGAATGGAGGTGAAGACCTGAAGGATAAACACCTGCTCGTTTTTCATCTACTTCCGTCAAATGCTACACGGTTGCCCAAAGGGAGTGGGTTTGAACCTGGAACTAAACCAAAATGTCCTCTCTTCATCCGCTTTGTAATAACAAAATTTGTAAAATTCCAACTAATTTTTTATCTTTTAGAACAAGCCAGACTATGAATTTCTTTATGTTCCACCACCAACAACATCTACAGTTACAACAACGACTAAAACAACAGCGGCAGGTACACAGCAAGGAAATACGACACCACCAACAGCTAAAGTACAGGAAGAAAAGGACACCGAAGAGGGAAGTAAAGTTTGGATTGTGGTAATTGTGATCATTGTTGTGGTGGTGGTGGCTGTAATTGGCGTTGGATTCTCTGTCCGGTTTTACATGGCAAAAAAAACAAAAGGAGATTGACCAAAAGGAGCATGAACTAAAAAACATGGTAGGTTAAATTATTTTAAAAATAATAAAAAAATTATTTTTTTTCAGACAATCGGAAAAAACTACGTCATCAATCAGTTCAACAAAATGGACCTCGATGAAGCTATAAACAAGAAAATACTCCTGTATTTGTATGAACCGGATGTGAAGGAAAGAGGTCTTGAGGCAGCTGGAGATTTCAAACATTGGAAAATGGAAGTAAGGAGTGTTCATTTAAAAGGCCGTCACTTGTGGATCGAAGCGACTGGTTAATTTTGAGAAACCCCCTTTGTTTAGTTAAATTTGGTCTTATTAAATAACTAATGAAAAATGTCGGTCCACAAGTAGTGGGAGAACAAAAAATAAATATAATTAATTTTATTATTTTCAGAAGGGATACACCAGACGGTTTGGTGAAGACGATGCAGACTTCGAGAAGAGAATAAACGAAGCGATTGAGAAGACGGGAGCAAAAGTTGACACCAACGATGGAAAGGGCAAAGAGGCGAAGACATCAAAAACTCCGACGGGAAAGAAGCCTGCTAAGAAGTGATGGGAGAAGATGTTCTGAGAAGTCTGTGGATAGGAATAGAAACTAGAAGTTGAGAAGATATTTGGGGATAGAGAATAATTTGTGTGTAAATAATTTGTAAATAATCCATTCTCTATTTAATTGTTTTCCCAGATATTCTCCAAATCTCAACTATAATTCCCTATATCCCCTATATATCTAAACATTATTCATATATTCCCTATAACCTATATCTATATATTCACTATAAGGCTATATGCCTCTCTATATGTGTATACTTTCTACAGATACACAAATTCCCTATATTCTATATATTTGCAGGTTGATTGTGTATTCCCTGCTATTCCTTGTTATATATTGTTGTGTAATATGTATTTTTTGTATGTATTTTTTGTATAATCTTGTAATTGTATGTATATTGTATTGTGGGATAAATATGTAAATTATTTAATTCTTTAATGAAAAATTTAAGTGTAAGTGTTAAAATGTTAATTTGAAAGTACATAAGCACATAGACTTTAAAGAAGACGACTTTTGGCCCAAAAAATTCTTCAAAAATGTTAAGCAAAAATAATGAAATTAATTTCTAAAATTTAGAGAATATTTTGGTATCAAAAATTTGTTAGAGTGTTGGAGATAAAATTAAAAAAGAATTAGCAATTTTCATCAACTTTTAAGAGAATTATGGCAAAAATAATGGTGTCGGAAAATTTGCCGCACTCTGTATTTTGAAACCGTTTGAAGTTTAAATTTGAAATATTCCCTCAACAAATAAATTTTTTCCTCAACATTCAAAACAGTTTCTATGGGCAAAAACCCTTCAATATATAAATATTTGAAATTTTAATATTTTTAATATTCAATTTCTATTTAAACTCCATATAATTTAAATTTTTGTTTAAGAAAAAATTAATTTATTTTTGTAAACTTAACTTTAAATTTACCAAAATTCTATAAAACTTTGAAAAACAAGGCAGATTATCGTTTTTGTCTTTTCAATTTTTTCTTAAACTGCCTTGTTTTTTAAATTAAATTAAAATTTAAGAAAATTCCTTCAAAATTTTGGATAATATTTAAATAAAAAAATTAATTTAATTAAGAAATTCCCTACAAAATGAATAAAGAAAGATTACTTAATATTAAAAAACAAAACAATAATTTAATTAAACTTCAACCCAATTTTAACAATCTTCAAAAATTTTTTGTTGAAGAGAAGGAAAATAATTTTTTCCTTGAAAATGAATTGAAAGAAAGGGATAAAGTTGGGATATTTTTTTGATTAAATTTTTTAAAAATAATTTTAGAAAATTGAAGAAATGAGGCAAAATTTTCAGAAATTACAAGCTGAGAAAGATGCATCTGACAAAAAGAATAATGAGTTGAAAGTTAAATTGAAGAATATGTATTGTAAATATGTGGTTAGTTAATGATTAAATTTAGTACGTGGGTGCCGAGTTTAATATACAAATGTTAGACTATTTGAAAGAGATAATCGAGCTGAGTCGAATGCCACCAAAATTAGCCCGAGGAAAAATTTTTGGACCGAGATATAGGTGCCTGAAATTTGAAAAACCATAGGGGGGAGTAATATTTGTATCTTAAACTCGGCACTCATGTACTAAGGTGACCCCAGGGTTAGTTTATCATTAAATTTAGAACCTCCTTAACTTCTAGAATCTACAGAATTTTTTACACTTAAGAGGCCTAACGTATTTTGTAGAAAATTCTAAGGGCTTTCGAATTAGCCTTTATCAACAATTTAAAACTATTCATAAGGGAGCAAAAATATTGTTTACGCCTAGCTTTACGTTGATTTTCAAGGTATTAAGATCGTTTATATTTCTCTGAGTTAAGATTTTTGGGTGAAAAATTATTTTAAATTATTAAAAAAATTATTATCATTAAAAATTATTAAAATTACAAAATCTATCATTTTGTTTATGACTGTATCTCAAACTTGTAAAAATGTTTTTGGGATAATTAAAATTTTTTAGAATCTAAAAAAGATTTCCTACAAATTTGGTTCTTGTATTGTTTGCCAATCTCAATTGAATCATGAAAATGTTTATATTTTGAAAAGTTGTAATCATACATACCATGAATATTGTATTACTCGTTGGATTACTGAAGGGGTGAGGAAATTTGTTTTTTTCAATTTTATAAGGCTAAATAACATGTATTGGGTTTTTATAATTTTCGGATAATTTTCTTGATATTTCCCCTATTTTTGTAAATCCACAAAAATTTAAATATACTAAGGGATACTATCTAAGTTTAGACTAACTACTAATAATAAGTACATACATAAAATTGTGTGGTAGGTAGTGGTTGGAATTTTTAAATTTGCTTGTACTTGTACTTGCCATTTTTTTTCGTACTCGTAAGAGTTTCCAACCACCGGTGGCAAGCTCTCTCCCATCTAAAAGTGTATCAGCCTTTATGGTTGATTTAATTATACCAAAAAATCCACAAATCAAATCTAAAATGTATTCAACTTCTATTTTTAACATTTTAGGCAGAAAATTGTCCCAGTTGCAGACTTCCTGCTACTTTGGACGATATTAAACAATTTTCTGTCGAAAAAGCATGTGACAGTTCTGACGAGTTTGATGATGAATTTACTCAGAGCTCAAGTAATTTAACTAAAGCTGAGAAATACAATTTGAATTGTGTGGGTAGTTAAATAAAATTATTGGTACTATGCCTTGATATCCTTCCATTTGAGCGTCTATAAACTTTTTAAACCTTGATCAATCCGAATAAATCATATATCATTCGAAATCCCTCGATAGGTCTTTTTTAACGTCTTTTAACTTTTTAACGGGCGATCAGACTTGATCCATCCAGTTGAAAAAAGATAGAACTTATCGAGAGCTTTCGGATGATATAAGATTTAGAACGCATAAAAAGTTCGGAAATGGAAAAAGAAAAGGATAATGCATATTACCAATAATTTTATTTAATATATTTAGTACCAAATTATAAAAATTAATTTTTAAAGAATTTTGTTAAAATTACAAATAAATGGAGTGAGATTAATATTGGGCATAGTAAATGTTGTGAAAATGAATGTATAGATACAGACAACCCTGTTGGTAATTGTATTGAAGGAAATGGATTTGTTAATATAATTGATGATGAAAATATTAAATATATTAATTGTTTGGAATGGATAGGTAGTGAATTATTGAGGTTTTGAAATTTTTTTAAAAATTTTAAGGTTACGACCATTTTGTCCGCGTTCATGCAGAAAATTCATTTAAAAACCCACAAAGCTTCCTTAATTATTCTTTATATTATTTTGAAGTTAAATGTATATTTGAAAAAGATAAGTATGCAGTTGCCATGTATATTGGATTGAAAAATTGTGATACAAATAAGAATATTGTGTTTAATGCAAAGTATGCTATAATTGAAAACAAGAAGAATAACTCATCTAGTGTTTCGACATCTTTCGATAATAACGATATTTACGGTTGTGGATTAGTTTATCCTCCAACTAATATGCCGAAGAAATTTCCTTATATTTTCTTTACACAAAATGGAAGACAAATCGGTAAATAATTAAAGGGTACATACACTCCGATGTAACGCGAGCCCAATGTACCACCGAGCTATAACTTTGTTCAAAATTGTCGAATCCGTGGCGCCCTAGTATGTTTCGATGCGGCTCGACCGGCTGAATCGAACCATACCAGGGCGTCCCGGATACGACAATTTTGAAAAAGGTTATAGCTCGGTGGTACATTGGGCTCGCGGTACACTGGCCTGCTCCCATAATTAAAATATTATTTCAACAAAATTTTTTTCTTAAAGGGAAGGCTACATTAGTAAAGGACAATTTTGATAAGCCTCGTGTTGTTCTGAGATGTTGTTCTATTGAAACAAATTTTGGAAATGATTTGAAGTCGAAACCTTTCAAATATGATATTTCAAATCATTTAGTTGTTAAAGAATTTAGTTGAAAATTTGTTTTTTTATTTACTTATTTTTAATTTATCAATTTTTGAATATATTTTTTTCTGCTGAACTTATTAAAAGAATAAAAAAAAAAGTTATTGCCTATCATTAAAAACCCAATTTTGTATATCAATTTCCTAAAGGAATATTTTAAAAGTTTTTTTTCTTCTTCTCTTCATTTTTCTCAAAATTTCTTTCAGCAAAAAATCTTTATTTTTCCAATTCATTTACTTTTCTTATAATTTTAAAAATTAATTTAAACATTCTCCGTATCTCCTTAATTTTATCCTTTCTTTTACCTAAATTCGATTTTTTAACAGGGAGATTAATTTTTTAATTATTTTTAAATCAAAAAAATATTTTTTTTAAATGTCTGAAGAAGGGCCATCAAATTCTGATTTGGAATCAAAAGTAAATTTTAAAAAATATTTGGTAATAGTTTGGAATCCGCCCCCCCCCCCCAACATTTTCCTTTCTATTTTTTCCTAGTTTTTTCTCATTTTATGGCAAATTATACCCCATTCGACTCAGCTCTTCGAGCTTAGTTGAATGACATTAAAATTAACGAAAACTGACTTAAGTGAACAAAGTTATGACCGCTTATTTTATCCACTTGGATTGTCACAAAAAGTCTTCACAATAAGGATTTAGCTTCATAATTTTGGCAATATTGATTAGATCTTTCCAATCATGATATCATTCGACCAAGCACGAAGAGCTCTTTCGAATGATATATGATAAATTATGTATCAATCAAAACAACTCAAAATGGTCAGGGAAAAGGTGAAAAGGGGAGGGGGCGAATTCCAAACTATTACCAAATATTTTGATTAAAAAATAATTTTTTAAGCTAAATAAACAAATAAATGGATTAATAAAACTTTCTAATGATTTTAATAATCTTCAAATAAAATTTAATGAGGAGAAGGAAAAGAGCGCTAATCTGGAAAAGAAAAGCCTGTCTTTAGAAAATGAATTGAAGGAAATTAAGAAAGTAAGGGACACCAAGGAACATACTACTCCGTCCTGGAACGACTTTCCTTGGAATTGGAACAGGGTCCTCCCGATATCTAGGGGTGTTTGATATACATAAAGCAATTCAATTTTTTTCAATGAACTGTGGGCTGACATATTGGGTTTTTTATGAAAAGATATCTTTTTCCTCAATAGGACGGTATACTATCCAAGACCCAATGGCCGTAGGTCCTGAAACCAGAGGTGTGCCGAAACAGATTTTAAAAAGCAAAAGGTAATTTAAAAAGACGAAGCACCAAAAAAGACGAAAATTCGGCGAAAAGCTAAAAGCTGAAAGGCACACCCCTGCCATGTACATAGGTACCTATATTGAAATATCGCGGTTTGTCCGTCCCGATACGTCCACATGCCAAAAATACTGGATTATGTTACTTAAACATATTTTGTTTTTTTAGAAAATTCAAAAACCAAATTCTGATCATGAAAATAAAATTAGAGTTATCCAATTAGAACATGAAAAAGAAATTAAAACTTTAAAAGAAAATATTCTACACTTAAAAGCTGAAAATAATCAGAAAATTGAGAAAATTAACTTTTTGGAAGAAAAAATTAAAAAGGTAAATAATTAATCAAAAAATTAATATGTTTCTAAAATTTTAAATTAAATTTTAGGCAGAAAATTTATATAATAAAAAGCTTAGTGATTTATCTGTTAAATTAGATAATTTATTTTTTGAATATGTGGTTAGTTTATAGAATTAAATTTAAATAAAATTATTAAACAATTTTTCTTAAAAGAATTTTGTCAAAATTGAAAATAAATGGGAAGAAATTAATAGTGGATATAAATGTTGTGAGAATAAAGGTGTAAACACAAACAAAACTATTGGTAATTGTTAAAGGAAATGGATTTGGATAATACTTTGGTTAACGCTCCCCTCTCTTTTCCCCTGTTTCCAAGTCCATTTTCGAAAGTCCATTCGAAAGGCTCTGAGGGATCAAATGAAATCGAGATTGGTTAAATTTGATAATTCTGAACAGAATCAGGGAGCTGAACAAAGTATCATAAATTTGTTCAGTTAACTCAGGCTACGTCAATTTTAGTGCTTTTTAATGTAGCCCGAAGTGCTCTTTCGAATTATACTTATATACACCAAATTTGCCATAAAAAGAAAGATAGATCAGAGTGGGTTAAAACCTGAGTCCCATTGAGCCTGAGGACTACAACTTTTGAGAAGGAGAATCAAATAGGAAAATCGAGGAATTGAGAGATATCGACGGGTTTAGTATGATTGAAGAGGATATGGATCTCTACTCACCCAAGTTTATGTAGATACGCGCAAATTGGACCTTTTGTTCTAAAATACTTAACTCTTATCTCCCATAATCCCTCGATATTTCTTTCCAAAAGTTATAGGTCTCTAGGGTCAATATGTCTAAATGGTTAGCTCTTAGGTGTGGACTCTCCAAAGTGTTGCCATGATTTATAAATCCATTTCCTTTAATTATTTTTTTTTGCTTTTAATTTCTTTACAACCATTTTTAGGGTATGATAAATTTGTTTCTATTTCCGCAGAGAATCCATTTAAAAAACCAAAAAATTGCTTTAATTATTCTTTATATTATTATGAAATTAAATGTATAGTTTTTGAAGGAAGTTTAAATAAAGATGGGAAATCGATGGTTTTTGGACTTAAAAATATGAGTACTTATAATTGGATTAGATGTCAAACAAAGGAAGCTGAAATTATTAACATGAATAAAGAGTCCTTTAAAATTACACAAATACTTGACTTGAATAATGGCGACATTTTTGGTTGTGGATTAGTTTATCCGCCAACTACTAAGTTAGATGAGGAAGAAGAATTTCCCTATATGTTTTTTACACTAAACGGGAAACAGATTGGTAAATATGTATTTAATGAAAATATACTATTCAGTTATCTCCCTACGAGGTTAACCATGAGGACATACACTTTGAGGACCTATTGTCCCGGAAGACCCACGACTTTTGAAAAGGAATATCGAGGGATTTAGAGGGTAGGGGAGTAAGTACACCTGTATTTTGGAACCAATAGTGCGTTATTTTAAGCGTGTGCTAGCTAAGAAACATCAGGCCCAGCATCACCACTACTGTTGGGCCTTAGAATACTTTCGACTCGGAAAAGATCAAAAATTACAGTAGATTGGAATATTATTACCTTCAATAATTGTAATTTTTTGGAGAAAGGGGAAAAGAATGAAAGAAAAGGAAATTTGGGGAGATAACCGAATATGTATAAAAACAATTTTTACAAAATTTTATTTTTTTAAAGGCAAAGGTGTTTTATTGAAAGACAATTTTTACATATACAAACCACGTGTTTACTTAAACTTTTGTTCTATTGAAACAAATTTTGGAGCTGATTTGAAGTCGAAACCGTTTAAATATGATATTACAAAACATTCAGTTCTTAAAGAATTTTATTAAATTTGGTTGATTAATTTTTTTGAATTTTCTTTTATCAATTTACTGATAAAAAATTACTGATCTAAACTAAAAATTGTTAGGTATTATCATGTCTAATGTTATTAAATTTATAAATAATTACTAACTGAGCTCGGATATAGCTCAGTCATGCTGGTAGTAACACTGCTAACTATCTGCAGATAATGCAGCTAAATTGTATCCGCAGATATGTCTTTACGGATAAAAATCTTTAACATTATTACTACCATCATCAGAGTAATTAAAATAGTTAAGCTGCAATAATCATTCTAAAAATAAAAGACAACTATGTATTAGATAGTATTCTGTCTGGAATTTTAGTTGTTTTTGTAATTTTGTGTTTTATTCCTACTTTTTATTACAATTTTTTATTCGTCAAAAAATATACAGAATTAAAAATACTATTACGATTTTAATTAAGATTTTTGAATTATTTTAAAAATTTTAGATTTTCCGTATGTAAATAATTCTTTAAAATAGCCCAAAACTTTCGCTTCTACTTTTTATCAGTCTTTTGGTGGGTGACAAGAAATAGAAGAGACGAGAGTCCATTCATAATTTGGTAAATACCAAAAGGAGTCAGTTGATCCTTCAACTTTCTTAAATTAAATTATATATACATATGTCTTAGGCCAAATTACATTTCAGTCCAAATTCAATTTGGACTAAAATGTAATTTGGCCGACGACCTATATATATAAATTTTGATTATATATAAATAAACCAGGCAGAGAATTTCTAATCTGTTACCACAACCTCCATTGGGAGGGTCAATACAAAACCAATCTTTAATATTATAACGCCCATTGACCTAAAAATAAATAAAATTTTAAAATATTTTTAGAGAGAAACAATTAATTCTCGGCCCCCATCGCAAACAAAACCAAATATTGGGCCATAAATTGGTTCTGATTCTACTTGAGCTTTATAACCTCTTAGTCCTCCTGTTGCAAAAGGATGACCTTTAAGATCCAAAATTGATTCACGCACTTCTTTGCAGTTTGATGAAAGGGTAGAAGGTTTAAGTTCTGGAAATAATTAATTTTGTATAAAAAATTTAAAGAAAAATGGTAGTGTTTTGTTAGACAAAATTCCAATGTTTTGATTAAATACCCCATAAACTATGGAGTATCAGCACAAAGCCAGTGGCCCACTCGAAACCATTCGACCACTCACAGGGTGTGGAAATGCCAGTGGACCGAGAGACCAACAAAAATAGAAAAACCATAGGCGGGGGGGGGGGGGGGGGGTAAGCTCATTTTTGGAGTAAAAAATCGAATATGCAAATAAAAGCTCATTTAAAGCAGCTCAACGAGCTGAGTCGGCTAAAGTACAGCCATATTTCTAATCAAAAGTTAAAATTGTTGACATTGTCGAATTAATTGAATTAATACAGTTTTGCTTTACCTGATTGATATCTTATTTTAGCAAATCCTTTCCCATTTTTCATAATCAAAATATCTGTATCTGCGTCAGCAATTATAACAATAGGCATAATATGATTTCCACAACAGAGTCGAGCTCCTACAAATTATAATTTAAAAATATTCTCATATTGAAGACCTTCTTAATGAAACAAAGAAATCTCCTAAAAATTACTGTAATTCCTGTACTAAAGCTCCTGTCTTTATTAGAGCTCCTTCTTTAATATAGCTCCCATTTTGGTATGATTGAAAAAAGAACCTACAGGAAAAAGGTATTTACCCGTTGCTGTTTTATCTTTTTTGTATTTGATTTCGATGTATCCTTCGCCGCATGGATATCCACATAAAAATCCATCAAGTTCTTCCACAAATATATATGTGAATTTTGGTTGTATTTTATCAGATTCTGGATGTTTGCCCTTTTTTAAAACATTATTCTAGTATAGCCGACTGTCAGATAAAATTACCTTCATAAACCAAAAACAATTGTCCTGATTAGCTTCAATAGTTATATATTGCTCTTTAATTGATGATACTAATTCGATAGCCTTGCAATCGTTAACTTTACAAATTAAAATTTATTTATTTTCGCAGAGTCCCACGAAACCCCGACAATTTTTTAGGCAAAAACCCCGACCCGAACTTTTGCACCCCTGTATAAAATTCCACTTACTAGGATGATCCCGGCTTTAAAATCATATATTAATTTATATTACATTTATATTTAGTGCATCTATGTACGTCATATCCTGAAGGACAACGACATTTACAATCATCTATAGGGTCTGGATAACCCCCATGTTTACATTTGCCTCCATTTAATTCATATTCATAAGCATTACACTCTGCAAACTTTCCATTATAAGGATAACTATTTGTGCCTTTTTAAATAAATTAAATCGAAATAAAGTGAATAATATTACAATAAATTCTGTTAAGTAGTTTTGCATCTTTAAATGAGATATCAACACGTTGACCCATCGTTTGCTGATAGTCACGTGAAAATGCAATAATGCTAAATCTATTAAAAAGTATTTCTATGAAGTTTTTTGATTTCATTTTAAATTTAGATAAGCTCCCATTTTACATTAGATCCTGGTGAAATTTAGATCGGATTGGAAATTTTAACCGGATCCTACAAATTATTTTTCTATAAAACTATTACTTTTCATATCCAGGAAGTATTGGACCGTAATGCATTACTGAACCAAAATCGTATGGCTGCCCATGCTGTACTGATGTTGCTAAGCGGTAATATTGACTTTTAAACTATAATTGAAAATTTTATACGAAGCAAAAAATCTTGAAATAATTAGTCTAAAACTAGGCAACTTCTAATGATTTTTCTCAAGCTTATGTTGTAAAAATACCAAATTACTTAGGTTGAGTCATAAATACTTAGGTTTAGCCCCAATGAGTTAAACGGATTAAATAATCATAGAAATTCAGCAAAGTATTATAAAAATTCAAATTATATTTTTATGATCCTACAGAATTATAGGAATAATTTGTCAGGATTAAAAGGTAAAATAAAAAAAAAACTTTGTATTTCTAAACTAGGCAACTTTTAGGTTAACTTTCTCTATTTAATTGACGAGTGAAATAAAAATTGAAATAGATTCTGATAGAGCACAATCAAAGGTCTAAGAATGGTAATAAATAAGGATGGGGCCTCATCAGGTCTAGCGTTATCCTGCTATAGAATAACACTCGCGTAAGAATGCCCAGCGAAGATAACTGAACTTAATTATTAACTATTTTGTTTAGATACATATTATACTAATTTTATTACATAATTATATATGTCCAAATAGTTAATCCAAACTGATTTGTTCCGATCTTCACGTATCATTTCGTGATGGATACCTAATGCATGCATAATTTCATGTGATACTGTCCCAACCTTAAATTTTTATAAAATTTAATTAATAGTATGTAGATTAATTTAAGACTAAATTTTATTGTAAAATTATGAAGTATAATTTATTCTTTAAATTAATTAGAATGAACCTTTAATTCCCAATTTGTGTTCGGCAAATGAATTTTTCCAATAATAATATCGGGAGTACCGAAAAGTAACGAAAAATATCGAGTCAATACTATCGAACCGTGCGAACACTACTCTCAAATTTTTAGTAAATATTAGATTAAAATATTATAATCTTATATTATACTCGTCCCTCACATTATATTTATTTTTAAGAATTATTATTTTATATACCATAGGACAACCATAATATGACAAGCTAATTACATGTTCCGCTCCTTTATATCCATTAGCTCCGAGTATTGTTCCACATCCGGAGCCAGCTTTAAAAAGGATGTACTTGTCTTTCGAAAAACGATCAATTTTTTCAAATGTGATGCAGGTCTTATCACTATATGTATAATTTAAAAAATTATAGTAATTAAAAAAATGTAGTAGAGATAGGGGAAAATTTGTCATTAAAATACCTATGTACTGAAAAAACTATCATTAAAATGACTAATGAATTTATCATTTTACGAACTATCAAACCTTATAAATTTTATCCCACGCTCAATCCTTTGCATCCATACTGCATCTGTTAATAAATTTTATATTAACGTATTTTAAGATATGTGTCATTTAGCAATCCAATTACAAACATAATTAAATTTAATAATTAACCATGTAGCATATTTTCGTGAAATGCATAGTAAATTGGCATTTTCCATAAAATTTCTGACGAAGTACTATCTAGTTGTCTTTTATTTCTAGAATGATTTTTGCAACCTAAATAATATCCTAATTAATTTTCTTTAATTACAAATCATTTTCAGCCGCTCATAAATTCTCTAATTGAAGCACATGTCTTCTATTTTCAATCCTCTCGCAGGGTATGCTTATATTAGAGAGTGTGCTTCATTTAAAGAATTTACAGTAATATATATAAATTTACATTCTTTCTGCTGTTCCTTTAATTTGTTTATTTGCCTGTGATTAAGGAAAAGATCCCCAATAGCAATTAGAGGTGCATTTTCACAACCATTTACAAGTCCATCCTCATCACGCTTCCCAAGTTTTAAAGAAACATTTGCACTCCTTTTATTCCTACCTTTTGGATTGGGATATAACCAAGAATCGGGCTGAAAATTTTTAGAAAGTTGGAAAAAAATTTAAATTTGCTTTTCGAGAAGAAAAATTTAATTACTATAATTATTAGTGTTTTTAAATTAGAAAACATTTTAAATTAGTGTGAAACACGACCTCTTAAACTCGGCCCGACGATTTTTAGTCAAAACCCTCTGACTCGAACCACGAAGGCTCTACCAGGAAACCCCCAATCTCCGACACTACCGATCCCGAAGAGTCGTCAAATAGGTAATTTACTGGAAAATACATGGCTTTACATATTTGAATGACGAGGTTTAAATCAACAAAATTTATTTTTACAATGTGTGAAGGACGAGGTTCTTCCTCATGACAAGGACAAGTCTTCCATAATTCTTTTAATTCGTCATAAGCCTGTGATAATTCATTAAATTTCTCCAAACCGAGGATGTCACACATGTTTCTTGGTCGCTTATACTTCAAAATATTTGTTTTTACAATATTTGAAGGACGCGGTTCACTAAATATTTATCTATCATAACACTTACACAATCAAATCTTTCATTAAGTCTTTTTCCATTTAATTCGATATCAAGTGTTGCCTCACACCCTGTTTGTGATACATATAAAATGTCTATAGAATTCGCATCAATCTGTTCATCATTTAAATTCATATCTGGACCGAACATAGGAATCGCCCCTTTCTTAAATATTCTTATTCGATAAAATGATGATAAAATTATATGAGGTATGAAGTTTAGTAATAAGTAGTTCATCAACAAAAATGTTTTATTTATATAAGGTAAATTTCCAGTTCGAGGGACACATGTCCGCAAAAGGCACCTGCCGAGATATACCCACCTGAAAATTGTTAACCCATGGGTAGGACCAAGCTGGTTTTTAGTGTGAAAAATTAGAATGTGCAGTTCATTCTAAACAGCTCAGCGAGCTGAGTTAAATAACACCAAATTCAACAAAATTTGACTTGATTTATCAAAATTATGCTTATTTGTTTTACCTATCACATATGGAAGCGAAAATTCGAAATCCGCTAGAAGTCAAAAACTAACAACCGGGACTAACAAATATGTGCTATAGCCAGCCGTTACTAACTTAATCGTAACTCTTAAAAAATATCTAAAAATTTTACCTTACTCAAAATTTCATTTATGTTTCCTTCCCCTAATTTTGCGAGTACAGCTTTACTATAATCATAAACTACATCATTTAACTCATCAATAAAAACAGCAAATTTATTTTCAGAGTTTCCAATGGAAATTGTTAAAAGTGTAGCTATAATTTCCTCTAAATCTAAAGGAAATAAAGATTCATCTTTTAAATATTTCCCGGTCGCGTTGATTATTTTGCCAAATTTAATCCTACAATTTTTTAAATTTTTTTATGAAGAAAATATATTTATACGTATATTCAGAGTAACTGAATCCAATAATCACATCAACTCGATATGTTATTCGATAACGTCCTTCTTTTTTAAAAATTTGAAACCCAACTCTGGTCCCAAAGACGCGAAATTCAATTCCGTGCCTTCCAGGGCCTTTATTTGAACAGGATTTGGCAAAATCACTTTTAGGGTTGTTTTTAATCTGAGAGATTTTTATATTAACAAAGATTTTGATTAGATTCTTAAAAATTAAAAGAAAAATTATTTTACATTTTCTCCCATTTTTGTTAAGTAGCAAAGAGTTAGATTAGCCGAATTCCAACTGCAAAAAGATGATTTGTTAATTTAAGTTATGGTAGCACCCCGAGTCTCCGGAAATGACAATATCGGGGTTTGGTGTTTTCCGGGGTAGAGCCTTTGAGTTTCGGGTCGAGATTTTTGCCTAAGAATTCGTCGTTGGTGGGGTTTTGGGGGACGGGGTGCTACCTTAATTTAAATAAACTAAAATTGTTTACTCTCTCAGTAAATTCTCATCTCCAGATTTATGATCGCATATATAATTAGGACTATCCAATCCTTTATCATTTTTTAAATATTCATTTATATCACAGGCCAAGTTGTATAAATTAGCTTTTAGTTTGAATTGATTAATTATCGAGGGTTTATTGCTGAGAATATCCTTAAAATGAGCAAATCACGAAAGGGAATATATGTAGTTGATTTGTTGAATTTTATTTTTTTATATTTTTTCTATTTATCATTAATGATTAATTGTTTAAAATTATTACACATTGCTTAGATGCATTAATTTTATTTTGATTGAATTTGAGCATTAAATGACATGACCTTTCAGGAACTTCCATAGTGTCTAATATTGTAGACCCTTCATTCCAAAGGTCCATATCCAACCCAAAAAGTGAAAGTGCCTCATTCTTAATTTAAAAAAAGTAAAATAGGTATAATATAATCCTTCCTCAAAAAAGTATAGTAAGCCTTCCTCAAGTTAACTCTATTTTCTTTGGCATTATTCAATGAGATGTGGGTCATTAGTTGATATTTTACAAAATTTAAACCATTTTGGGGGATTTAGGCAATTTTTGGATTATTTTCCAAAAAATCAAAATATGCATTATGCAACAAAGTCCATTATATGCAAATAGAAACCACCTCTAAAGTTTTCGAAACAAACGGAAACTGTGATTTCGTGCATAAGATATCACAAAAATATGCATTTGCATAATAAGAACCCTATCTCTAGTAAAAATTTAAAGAATTTTACTCCTTCAGTAATTTTTTGCAAAGTTTTTTCTTTATCTTTTTCTTTTGTGTCAAACAAGTTGCTTATCAGGAATTTTGTACTCGAAACATATTCCCATTCTTTTTCATTTATGTCAGTTAATGTTGCAAACATTGTATCATCTTTACCAAGTTGGATTTTTAGAATTGAAAGAGTTACGTTTTCTTTACTTGGATGTTCGAGGAGATTAGTCGTTTTGTTTATAATTCCAAAAATATTTTCATACTTTTCAAAGGAGAAACTAAATAAATTTGAAATAATCATTTAATGATTTCTAATTTTACACTAAAATATTGGAGCTCGTAATTTGAAAAATGCCAAGTCCGGTTTCCCGATTTTTAAATTTTTTATAAAATCTTATAAGCCAAGATATAGGACGAGATCCTTCGGAACAAAATTCGGAAAATCCAGTTTTTATCAAAATACCTGGATCACGGACTTGCGGATCCGGAAGATCTGGGGCCTATCCGTGGTTTAACTCTAATAAATATACTTTCCCACCTTTTGTGTGTATATGAAAAGCCAAGTTTCACATTAATTTTATATTCAATTTTATAAGCATTATTGTTAGTATCACGTAAAAACGATTTGCGCCTGGCACAAACTCGAACCTCAATACCGTGTTGGCCTGCTTTTGTGCATTTTTTAGCATATCCAGAAAAGGGAATATTCCTTAGCTAGAAAGGAAACAGAATAAACAACAAATTCATTTAAATTTACTTTAATTCTATCATCAGTTACATCGTCTAATATATATGGATCCAATTTGGATTCGTAACAAATTGTTAGCTTTGACCACAATCCTCTAAAAAGCTTCATAATTAGTCAGAATTTTGTACCGTATCGTAATAACCTATACCGATAAAATTCAAAATTTTATCGGTCGGTATTCATTACTGCCGATACGGAATACCAACAAATACTGAAAAATCCGTCGGTAGTACAGTACGGTCCGATCTCTACTTTAACGTAGAATAAGTAATAAAAAAATTCTTTACTCCTCGCAATCCTTATTGTATTCTTTGTCAATTTCTTTACATTGTTTATGCAAATCGTCACGATGCACTTTATGGTAAACTTCGGAAATGCAGCCAAGCTCGTAGATATTAGCATATATTTGCAATATATTATGTTCATTATTTAACTTCTTTTTATATAAATCCTAAGAAATTTTTTCATTATGATATTTTATATTTTTATAATTTCGTTATTTCAAAAAATTCATCTGTGCCGGATTATTTCTCAGATTTGATTCTCATCTTCAAGTGGATATGTTATTTTTTATGTAGTCTTTATTAAATGTTTAATGCAGAATGTTCAAAAAGTTTGGACAATAATTATTAAAGTTTAGAATTTGAAATATGCCTGATCCGGTTTCGATATTTCAAAAAATTTCAAATGGGCCGGATTTTTCTGATCAAAATCCTGTAAATCCGGTTTTTATCAAAATAACCGGATTCAGGACTGCCGCACCCGGAAAATCCGGACCCGACTTTAATAATTATGGTGTATACGGTAAAACAAGTCTACTATTGTTACTTACAAGTCCATTATTGTTACAAAGATTAGTCCTTATAATAAGTAACTACCTCATTTATTAGGCAGTTACCAACATATTTCCAAAATAATGTCGTTTCATCATTATTTGTTTGGATGTTCTTAGAGAATAAAAGCATCATCTCTAATTTCAAAGCCAGTATTCCCGCAAAATCATCACTTAAATATTCTTTATTTGCTTTAGAGCTACCAAACAGATTATTATCAACTTTACTAGCATTAAGTATCCTTTCTATAAAATTTTTAAAAATAAAAAATATTGGGACAAGAATCCATAAATTCTAAATTTGCTCCTAAACGTTTTGTATTTGAGCAACGAAATAATTTTTCAATTTATTTAAATCCATTATTATCCATTTTTTGTTAAATTAACATAAAATTTCTAAGACTAATTAATAACAAACGTTTGAGAGAATCATTCTTTCCAAAAAGGAATGATATCAATTCATAAGACTTTATTCCGCGTAGTATCAGTGTCTCTCTAAAAAGTGATTTATTGTTCTTTTGGTACTTATCCGTTTACCGACTTTGATCTATAACTTTTAGAAAGATGATACAAAACAATTGAATTTTATATCATTCGAAAGACCTAGATAAGCGATATTTTTTCCTAATTGGGTAGATAGTTTGATTACTCAAAAAAGTTATAACTAGATTCAGTTATTCGGTGTTTTTCACATTTATCGGGTTATTACTTTATAGCGTGTGATCAGACCTGAGCCATCAGGTTAGAAAAAAGATAACGCTTATCGTGAGCTTTTGAATGATATAACATTCATTTGTATTGGATCAAATATCGAAAAATTATAGCCGATCAAATTTGACTTGTCTTAATTTGTGGAGATTATAACAGATAAGTATCTCTTTTTTAAAAGTTCTTCATTTTAACTAACCCTTCTGGTAAGATATCTGAATGAACTTCCAAAATTCCCTTCCCTTTCTTTATAATTATTATTCCAAGCCATTCAGCTTTTTTAGCATCTTTAATCTTGGTCGGATTCCCCATTTGTGAGTTATCGCACATTTGACTTTTCCCTTTCTTCGTTAATTCGAATCGTTTGTTGGGTTTCCAATTTCTCTCGGAAGGTAAACTTAGCTGGCTTTGATAGCAAATAAGTATGCTGTAATTTTATTAAAATAATTTGTTTGTTTACAATAATTTTACTTACAAGGGAACCTCAATCCCTGTTACGCCCTCCCACTACTGTGGCATGTTCATTATCTAAAACAAAACGTTTCCCAAGAACGGCCATTACCTGCCAGCTATTAACCGCCTATTACCAAAGCTTAATTCACCACTAACCTATCCTTGAGAAATGACAAGTAAATAGACTGGTACATATAAGCCCTGAAGGAATAGAAGCTAAAACAGATCACTTATTCATTTATTCAGCTGATAAACTTAAGTAAAAATGTATTACTGTGAAAAGTGAATTAGAGTAACATGCTCGATTAAGAATGACATTTTTTAATTGAATGGCACCAAAATTTTTTAAATTTTTGAGAGAACGTTTCTTGCAAAAATATATAAAATGTCACACCAAAATAATATAACTTTTACTTACCCTTTACAGTTAGTTACATTTTCTGCAGGGATATTTTGGTTAAACATGTCTTTATAACGGACTTTATAAATTTTACTCAGAGAAGTAAATTTTGAATCATCAATTGAAGATTTAGATGTTATTATTGAATAAAATATTAAAAATAAAATTGACGGAAATGCTCTTAAAAGCACTTTAGCCATTTCTGAAATTTTAATATTTAACAATTTGTGTATTTATTATATTTACCGAAAATTCCCAATGCCAAGTATGGGCCGATACAATAATTCCCACGGATAGGTTGAGATATTAATACCCCGGAGGATTTAATTGAGTAAATACGGTTCTTGCTTATTACGCCTCAGTTTAAGGTCAACTATAAGTTAAAAATTAGGTTGAGGGATATCTAATGGCTCCATGACAATTGTACAGTGGGACAATTGTACAGTGAGACAATTGTACAGTAGACAATTGTACAGTATTAAGAGCTTTTTTAAAAAATTTAATGTTAACCCAAATTATCGAAACATGTATCAACACTAATTTTTTTTATTTTATTATAGTACAACTTGGGGAGGTTGTTCCAATGACGGAACAAACTTCAATTCGTTGAATTGACCAGCAAAGTACGCTTGGTTGAGAAAGTGATCAACCAAGAGTAATCAATCAGGTGAGTGATCAATCTGAAAAGTGAAAATCAGAAAAAGTTGAGAAATACCGAAATCGAAAACCGAGTGATGATCAAACGGAAAACTGATCAAACGAGAGCAATAAACGACACAGATATCGATCACCTTAGTGATCAATCAATATTCCAATAGAGATTAATTGATCAATCGATCACTCTTTCCATTGATTAATTGAAAAATTTGATCAAAATAAGCTTCCCTATCATTGAACAACTTCAACGAGTTGTATAATAAAATTGAAAAATTTTAATGTTGATTATATGGTTTCGATACTTTGGGTCAAGTGTATATATTTTTCTTACCGATTATCGCAAAATTAAATTTCTTTTTAAAAAGCTCTGAATACTGTACAATTGTCTCACTGTACAATTGTTCCACTGTACAATTGTCGTGCCACCTATCTAATTGTTACCCTCAATAATAAGTACACTTAATTTTATGAACAATTTTTTACTGTACAGAAAATTACAGGCAATTATAAGTAATATCTGAATTAAAAAATCTAAACACTAAACGAATAAAATTTGATTAATAACTGTTTAAAATTAATGAAATATGTGTAATTAAAAATTTATTTTAAAAATTTATATACAGCTCAAATGGGCGCTGCTATAAAGGCGCAAAGCAATAACTTTGTTCAATATTTCCGAATCTTATCAAATTTAGTAATAAACGATTTCTCTCATCGAGTTAAATAGTTTAGTACCAAAATTGATAAGGGCCAGAAATTTTCCAGCTAGTTATGGCTTTACGTCGTCATGTCCTCGCGAGCTATTGGGCATCCCAACATTAAACTCATATTTTTATAAATATTCCCAATTTTATTAAGTGAATCATTCAATTTAATCCAAATAATTATTTTTATTTAATTTTGTGTTGACTACTATAATATGTAATTTACTGAAAATTTTATAAAAAATTTCTTCGTTTAAAATCAGAATTTTAGTAAAATTTTAAACTTTAACCAGATAATTTTAATCAGTGCTAAAATGTCTAATTAAAATCTTTTTTGCATTTTTTCTATAGATTCATTTGTGCCATGAAGAACCAATTGCCATTTATTAAGTACAATAACTATTTAGTAAATTTTTATGTTTTTTATTTAAATATCCATCTGTAAAGCATATTATATAGCTATTTAATTTCTAAAGCTACACAGTAGGTGGGTTGCAGGGTTGCCGCGGGTACAAAAAATCTTCGGGTACGGGTTTCGGGTATCGGGTTGGAGCGTTTTCATTTCGGGTCACGGGTTTCGGGTTGGCAAAAATTTCGGGTACGGGTTTCGGGTTTCGGGTTGAAAAATTTTCATTTCGGGTCACGGGTTTCGGGTTGGAAAAAATATCGGGTACGGGTTTCGGGTTTCGGGTTGAAAAATTTTCATTTCGGGTCACGGGTTTCGGGTTGGAAAAAATATCGGGTACGGGTTTCGGGTTTGGCGAAAAATCCGGGTTATTATATTGGTGAATTAAATTGTATGGAGACAAGCTATGTTGCATAATAGGATTTTGGGTGATATAGAGAGGCAAATTTGAAGAGATTAAAGAGACATTGTGGGATTTGGGGATAAAGAGGGATATCTTGGTAAAATCACCTTGATAAAATCCCACTATGTACTAATATTCTTCCGCTTTATTTCCATTAAAGCCTCCAATTTTCTCCAGTTTTCAGCGCCGCAGGCGAAAATTTTGAGAATTTTTAAGGCCAAGTAGCCAAATTTCTTCCATTTTATGCGCCGCAGGCGAAAATTTTTCAAAATTCATGGCTAAATTAAAATTTTTAATGCTTTTTCAAGCTTAAAATATTAAAAAAAAATAAATTTAAAAATCTAAAATGAAAATCAAAGTTTAAAAACATTTATTTTTGAAAAGAAAAATTTTTTAGGCCTCATTTCCAGACCTGGGCTCGAACCGACCTCAATTAAAATATAGAGCCAGTCACCTTACCCATTCAGCCACCGATGAACATAACGTAAATATGGAGGAAATTATAAATATTCCTTTCCCTTTTCCTTTCTATAATTCTTTAAATTTATTTTAAAAAATCGGGTAAGGCTAAGTTTTCGGGTAGAAATTTCGGGTTTTAACCAATTTCGGGTCACGGGTTTCGGGTTGGAAAAATTATCGGGTACGGGTTTCGGGTTTCGGGTTGAAAAATTTTCATTTCGGGTCACGGGTTTCGGGTACAAAAAAAGGCCGGGTTTCGGGTATCGGGTTTCGGGCGGCAACCCTGGTGGGTTGTATAATGGATAACTCATCACTCTGGTCTATTGAAGAAGCTGGTTCGCCCCAGCCGCCAAATAGCCTTCTGCACTAGCCGAAGGAAAGAAAATAGCTATAGCCCAGCTCTGCTTTACTATACTTACTATTTTCTTCATCAGCATTATTAATCTCCAAAGTCCAATTACCATTAGAACTCTCTCCCCAGAAATGAACGGACATAAATTCCCAATTAATATAGCCAAGACTGCTGGTGTCTTTAGGCCTTTTAGACATAAGTTTTGAACGGGTGCCTAAGAATTTTATTATTATTTTCCCGAAAAACCAAAAAGGACACCTTTAGGACTTGTCAAATAAATTTCTACTTTGCCACGAGTAAAAGCTCCCACGTCAATAATTGCTTGAACGTGCTCTAGAAAATTAACTCGATTATCCTGCCCATTATCTGAGCAGCCTGCAGTGTATAAAGTTGCATTAAAACTTGTTCCATTTTTAATGACACTAAATAATTGGCATAATTAAAGTTAACATTTTCCAAATTAATTAGATAATAAAACTATAAATTACTAATTTCCCCTAATCTATGTATAATTAACTTAAGTAAATACGGACATAAAATCTGCCTGTTGATAGACATTCGAACAATTTAAAGCTTTTGGAACAATTTTCCATTTACGTGCCATTAGGACCATTGCACCCGCATCAAGGAGACCATACCCATAAGAGTGAGAGAACCAACGACCAAGTCCATTTTTTTGCCAATCAACAGCACGTAAAGAATGTGGTTTTGCAGTTCTTACAATAATATGCTTAATTGAAATTTTTTATTAGCGGCTCTTTGATAGGATATAGATCTTCATAAAAGAGTAGTTCCAGCTATATACCTGTATATCTCTCCAACCCAAATTTGGGTTGGCTTCTAATGTCAAGGCAATAATCCCTCCAGCTAATGACGCTGCAGCAGTTGTCCCAGATATTTTCAATGTACACGAATTGTGTAATTGTGTTGTAGCAATCATCCGGTCATTGACAGAACCACCAGAGAAGGCTGTTGCAATTGTTGGGCTGCATGATTCAGAATACCTATATAATCTTTAATTATAAGAAGATAAATCTATTATCGACCAAGGAACTCTGCCATCTTCAGTAGTAGCAGAAATTGAAATTGTGTAGATTGAACTTACATATCCGTCCGCACTACAAGAATCATCTATGATTAAAATATGATTTAAATTTTGCTAATTTTAAATTATTTAATAGATGGGTGTGTTGTCGTTGAATGAATATATAAGTAAATAAAATGACCATCCGTATAAGTTGCCGGACTGAGCTCAGTATTTGGAAAAAGTTCGGTAGACGAGATTTGAACGAGATTTCTCGGGTGTGTAGGATTCAAAGCCATTTTTATCATAATTCATTATATGTACGGATCCGATGATTAAATATAAGAATTTTCGGCCGTTACACAAGCCTTTTACACGTCAGTCAGTATAAAGTTTATACGCCCAATAGAATACGTCCAAGCAAATTTTTCACATTTTTATGTATCCAATCTAAGGCGATAAGTACCTGGTCTGAGTGTCAGTCCTCTAATTATTTTTTTTTCGAGATTTTGCTCACCTTCTCCGCCAATCCCTGTTGCCCAAATATAAATTGATCCTTTTCCATTTCTTCCTTCATTAACGCCTTGCAATATAGCTTCTTTCGCTAGAACTCCTGGCCCATCGAGCGTTTTTCTTTAAAATAACAAAAACATTTGAAAATTTAATACCCATCGTCTGTCGGACCCCAGTTAGCTAAATAGATATCAATGTGTTGAGGTTTATAACCAAGGGCGATTGCTTCTCTTGTGTCGTTATAGGTGTCTTATGAAATAAATTTTTATAAAAAATTCATTTTGAATATAGTCTGAAAGATCACCGTCCAGCAGACGAATCCCTCCGATTTTTGCATTATAAGCGACTCCAACATTACAACGTGAATTATTAAAGATAGCAGCCACTACACCAGCAGAACGTGTTCCTTGATGATCCACATCATCTATAGGCGTTGGATCTTCATCGTTATCAATTACATCATAAGACGCATCAGGATCATAATTGTCTGCCAAATCTTCATGGGTTATCTCTAATCCATCATCTATAACAGAAACAACAACCCCACGTCCAGTATACCCCAAATCCCATGCTTCTATAACATTGTGATCAATTTTTTTGGAGTCATAAAATTTGTTGTTTACGTACCTACATTAGAATTTTTACCCTGTTTCTAGAATAAAATTATTATTACAGTCAGATCATTATTCTTTCGAATAATATATAATTTGGCATAAAATGAAGAAAAACTAGGAAAAAATAGGAAGGAAAAAGGGGGATGGTCAGCTAAACTATTACCAGTTGCTCCAACAACGAATTATTGTTCCAACAACGGGGAATGCACACATTTCCCCATAACTGGAAAAATAAGCCGCGTTGTACGGCCAAGCCTACCCCCCCCCTTCCCAATTGAAAAATAGACTTTTTCTTTGGACGAAGTTTTCGTAAGACAAAGTTTTGTATTGACCGAGTTTTTAAATTCGAAGTTTTGCCTCTCACCCCAGTCAGGCATCCACTATTAAATACCCACATTATCGATATTCAAACATTTATGATAACAACTACTATCTCAATGGCCAACACTTAATTACTTATGTATAAGACGACAAGATTTTCATACTAAACGGGGTATCTTATAGTGAGGTTCGAATTAATAACTATAATCTACCACATATCCTTCCATAGCGGATCATTTGGCTCAGAAAATTTTGTTTTAGTAGCTCCATCTATTTTTCTGACATTTCCATCTCCAGGCTTATCTCTTTTTGTTCTTGGATTAATTGAATGTATATCTAATGGTAAAGCGTTTAAATCGTTCTTATAATTAAAATCATTTAAAAATGTCTGAATAATGGGGTTGGCTTCGAAAAATGTATGTCATGAAAATCCCAATCGTATACCCCAAAATGGCGCGCGTCCATGACGACGTAAAGCCATAACTAACTGGAAAATTTCTGGCCCTTATCATTTTCAGTACCAATCTCTTTAGCTGAGGAATCGTTTAATACTAAATTTGGGGAAATCTTGATCAAGTTATGGCTTTACGTCAATATGGCTGCGCGCCCTTTGGTCGTATCACACTAAATCTAAATACCTTAAGACCTACATATTAAGAAAATAAATACGTGAAATATAATGTCAAATTCGAGGGATTTATTTTTATTTATCTACTTGACATAATTTTTTAACAATTTTTTAATAAATATATTTAAATAAAATTATTATAAATTTTTTTTAATTTTAAATTTTACTTTTATTATTTTCAAATGCATTTAAATTAAATTGTTGCAAAAATAAAATTAAAAATAAAATTAATTTAATCATTTAAAAAAAAATAATTCTAAAAGTCAATTAAAGAATTTAAAAAAAATTATTTAAAAACAATGTTTTGCAGTTGAAAAAACTCCATATCAATCATTAAATTGCAAAAAATAGGAAATATTTTTACGTTAAATTTTTGTAAATATTTAAAGTTTAATTTATATTTTTAATTTTTATTATTTTGTGGTAAATAAATGAGACAAAAATACATTTTAGCACTTAGGTATACTTATGTGGAATTGATCTATATTAGAGGTCGGCGCGGAACGGGATCCCGACGAGATTTTCCGGGATCCCGAAATCCCGGATTTTTTTGATTTTCGGGATCCGGGATTTATCCCTCGGGATCCCGGCATCGGGTAAGAAGTAAAATCCCGACTCGGTATCCCGAGAGTGCGAATTTGCAGACCCCTAATCTATATATTTTAAATTTAAATTTTATTCATTTAATTGAAATGGGATTTGGATTAATGATCCACCTCTACATCAGGAGTTGATCCAGTTAATAAGCAGCCTTTTATTTTTATTCAAAAACTTATCAAGCCAAACAAACAATTTTAAATATGACAAAAAATAAAACGAGATTAAAAAATAAAGTACATAACGAGGAGACTTTTTTTTATTTTTATGCCACACTCAGTATTATTATTTTCAATTTTGGGTAAGATAACACAACAAGACTTAGATTCTCTTACTTCCAATATTGAATGGTCTCACAAAACTCGGTCCAAAATAATTTTCAAAAAAAAAACGGAAATCACTTTCCAATATTAACTCGCCTCTAACTTACTCAATTTTCCTCCTATTTTTTCTCAATAAAAATCCCAACATTTAAATCTTACAATAGAAAATGATGTGACATAAATAAAAGTACCAATAATTTAAAAAAACAAAATTAAGAAGAGGATGGTCCAGGTTTATCACCACCCTCATTTTTATTATTATTCCCACTACTTTCCCCATTAAAATCTAAGGTCACTTCACTTCCATTAATATTTGCATAAACTTGAGAAGAAGAAGAGGAAGAACTTTTTGGAAGAAAAGAAGAGGAAGTTCCGACCAAATTGGACTCATCTATAACCTCCCCTGCTGCTGCTGGTGGTGGCGGAGGTGTACTACCCTCTTCACGATATTCATACTCCCTTGCAATAGCGGCCTTCTCCTCATCTGTTAAGTCCTAAAAAACTTAATTTTTGGTAAATTCTTATTTACTTAAAAAACAAAAATTGTGTAAAAAATTTATAAATATTCAAAAAAATTCAATTAAAATTTGGATTTTTAGAGACTATTTTTAGCAATTTTTTGGATCTACTTGTTTTATAAAAAATGAATGTCAAGCCAGAACACCGTCTGGCCAAGAAAAACTGTCACAAGTAAAAATAGAACCCGGAATTGTTCAGTACCATACTACGGTACGGAATACCGAAAAATACCGATACCGACAAAATTCAAAGGTGCTTTTGTTATATACCCATAAAACTTTGGTCTATCGATTCACCTATCGCTATAAGTCGAACGGTCCAACTCTCTATGATCGGAAATGCTTAACTCTGATATAAATTTAAGAAAATCAAAAAACCATAGGGGCCCAAACTCATTTTTTGAGATAAAATATTCGAATATGTTTTACTCAAAGTTAAATAAAATATAAAAATTCCTCACATCCGGCAATCCCAACATATCACGTATTTCTTGGGCACTTTTATCCATAATACAACGTGCCGCTTCTTGAGCACCTTTAAATAAGAGGAAATTGTTTTAAACAAAACTTTAAAAAAATACAATAATAGTAGAGGGATTTAATGTCCAAAAAATTAGAAGCCAAGTAAATCTCCTTCAAAAATTCAAAATCAATCTCAAAAAAGTTCTTCTCCCATTCAGTTAAAGTAAACCATTTGCGCTGAAAAATCTAATTAATTTTTATTAAATTTATTCTGATAATATTAATTTTTTTAATATTTTTTAATTAATTTTTAAACCCAGAATTTTTTAATGATGGAATCTCTCTCTAAAAAATCAGCCCAAAGTTTTGCTGACGTAAACAGAAAAGCGCGATAGAAGTGTGAGTCGAAAAGGGGCCTTATAAATTCTAAACAACAACACAACAACTGGCCAATTTAACCCCCACAGAATAAGGAAAACTCGAAAAAATTCAACTAAAAAAATTGTCGTCCTTTCGGTTAATATTTTTGTCACATTTTTATATTTACAGATTATTAAAAATACTTATTACCTCGCCAGTAATATGGTCGTGTTTAATTTCGATCGGGCCTAAACCTAAAAATTTTGAAAATTAATTATTATAATTTTAGAAAATTTTTTTGGAACATCTTAAGTCTTTCTTACCTAATATGTATATAAAGGTTCAATTTCCAATGAAAAAATTTTTTTAGTTTATTTGGAGATGCCATGGGAAAATGAGAAAGGAAATCTGACCCCATGTACAAAGCCTAAAAAAATTTTAAAAGCAAAACGCAAAAACCCATAAATACGCAAAAAAACTCCAGATTATTACGGAAAAAAACTCCTACAAACTCCAGATTATTCTAATAAAAAAATTTTCATTTAATCAGATTCCTAAAATCCCAATTGGCCCCAACCCCTGAAAAAATCCAGGTTATGGGAAAATCCTGGCTACTGACTTAAAAAATTTGTTAAAAAACTTGTTGAAGATATTTTTCCCTCCCAAAAAATTTAAAACCTTGGTGATTCCGCAACCATTCCACAACTTTAACAAAACATTCCTCAGTAATTTCATTGAGCGGAAAATTAAAATTATCCAAAGCCTCTGGATTTGCAGCATCTTCAAGATTCAAACTTTCCCTAGAAAATTTTAAAGATTGAAATGTTTAATTAAAAAATAAAAAAACCAAAGCAAAACAAAAGCCCCGCATTGCATCATCAAATACCACTCAACCTTTACAAAAGAAAAAAATTTTTTATCTCTTGCCATTTAAAGGAGGTTAATTTTTATTTAATTAAAAAAAATTTTTTAATTCAAAAAAAAATTCTTAAAAATATTTTTCACTGGTTTCGGACCGAAAAAAAAAATTATTTTTAATTTTTTTAAACACAAAAAATTTTTTGCCTTCAATTTTTACCTCAACAACTTTATCGTCCCAAGTAACGCATTTTATTATACGTTGTTTCTGCTCTTCCGTCAATACATGATTATACAACTCTAATTAATATGAAAATTAAATTTAAAATTTTTTTAAATATTTACTAGGCTCTTGATTTTCTTCAGAAACTTCTTCAGCCATAACTTCATTTTCTGTACTGTCAACAATTGATTCTTCAGACATTATTAGAAAATAAATTAAAAATCAGAATTAAATTAAAACAATAAGCTAGAAAACTTTAAAACAAGTTTTAAACAAAATCAGAATTAATTTTAAACAAGTTGGAAAGACACCAGAATTAAATTAAAACATAATCAGAATTTATTAGAAACTATTTGGGAAGAAAATCAGAATTTATTTCCAACAAAACCAGAACTCATTCCAAACAAAACCAGAATTTAATTAAAACAAATTGGGATGAAAATCAGAATTTATTCCAAACAATTCAGAATTTAATTAAAACAAACACAAAAACAAAAATAAAAGTTCATTCGAGTCTGATTTTTGTTGAGCTTGTCGATATTTGCGACAACACCAATTCGCCAACCCCCTGTTCGCCAATATTCGATTCGAACACTGTTCGATTAATAAGAAATTCTGTTATGTTTAAAATGTTTTTGCTTTTCTTGCAACTATTTATATCAGAATTACAACGCCCATCTCTCATGGAGCTTAACTTTCAATATGAACAATTACTGAACATTTTTAAAGAAAGGAATAAAGCAAAATGGCTTTATTACTCCTACAGTTATGGGGAAATGAGAAAACTTGTGGGAAAGATTGCTAGTTTATTTTAAAGGTCAATAAAAACATTTCTCCTCGTTCACCTCAACAGACCGTCGCCGACAAAATAGTGGACATATGTGTAGCTTTTCTTGCTCAACTTCAAAAGCCATGATAGGAAAAATGTACACAGCGGAATAGCCAATAAACACAAAGTGTGTTGTCTTAAAGTATCCTCCTTAATCCTGCAAATCCCCTGATATTAGGGATGTATGTATGACAGGGCTCTCATTCGTGCTTTATTTGAAAGTATTATACTTTGAAACCGACCTCCATACTTAAGAAATTGAATTTATACTTTATTGAAAGTATATACTTTAAAATCAACATTTTGGATTGAAAATGAAATTGGGGAAGGGATTGGGCAAAAAAGTGAATTTTTTAGCCTTGGGCCTTCTAAAATTTCAAAAAATTTTCGCCTGCGGCGCTGAAAAAGAAAGAAATCTGGCTTCTTGGGCTCCAAATTTCAAAAAATTTTCGACTGCGGTGCTGAAAAAGTGAATTTTTTTGCCTACGGCCTTCTAAAATTTCAAAAAATTTTCGCCTGCGGCGCTGAAAATGGACGAAAGTAATTTGCTTGAGGTTAAGACTGTCAGGGCTTTATTTCTTGTATCAGCGAATTTCGACATGTCATGCGTTGAAATGCACAAAATGCTCAGTGGAAGCAAGAAATTATTAGAAAAGATTCATTTAAGAGAGAAATATAAAAGATTTGAGCACGAACAAATATTTTCCAATTTAATTTTGAGTATACTTTAAATTTGGAAATTTTCTCCCTATATACTTTTTTATCAAGATTTTGATACTTTTGAGTGGCATTTTGTCGATGAGAGCCCTGATGTATGATGTATCAACAATAAAGGTCAACACGTAAAAGTTCTACCTAGGTCAACTCCCTATTGATCAAATGACCCTAAAGGCCAACTGCTGAACATAAAGAGTTCTCAAGATCAAAAATCGTTGGCCTGGTCACTTTTGTCTTATCTTGCAGTTACACCAGAGAATTTCCTTCTTATGTCACTTAATCCCAGTAAATCCATCTTAATCAGTCCAAATCCATAGATATGACATTTGATAATCGAAAATTTTTCTTAATCCACCCAAACATTTGGAGTTGACCTTTTGGGTAATTTAAAATATTTTAATTATAAATCCAAAGACAAATGACTGAAGGAGAAGGATCATCAAATTTTGATTGGATTTTGGTTGAAAAAGAGAAAAATGATTTAATTAGATTTTAAAATAATTTTGACGACACTCAACATAATTTTATTGAAAAGAAGGAAGAGTGTTAATTTTGAAGATGAATTGAAGGAAATGAATAAAATTTTCGTTTCGATTTTAACTGAGAAATGTGTAAGTTTTATTTTAATTAACTTGTCCCTATTTTTATGTCAATGATTGTATAAATATTAAAACATTGCGATAAAAATTTTCAGATATTGGAAATAGGGTTGCCAAAATGGACCGACTTAGACCGAAAAGCCCGAAAAAGACTCGTAACGGCCTGACTTTCCCTAATTGGAAATATAAATAACAAAAAATTATTTTATGTTTATCAAAAACAGGAATTTTAAAACTAATTTCTAAAATCAAATAAATACGTAAAAGGCACAGCTTAGAAAATGGAATTTTCGGATTTGCCCAGAAAACCGTTTTTTGGATTAAAAAAACCGTTCTAGAAATAATTTGAAAAACAAAAAAATCTGGGCAGATCCAGTTCAGAGCCGAAAGTTAAAATATAAGATATATATATACTAAATAATATTATCGAAGATTAACAAAAAATTCGTCTAATTTTTGTCCAAACTATTCCACCGACACAACCATCATATAAAATAGAGAATTTAATTTTTGGATTATAAATGTTGAAAAGTTGGTATTCTGGCGCAAAATTATGTGGACGATACCCATATTCAGGTTCCTTTCCAACCTTTTCAGCTTTTTCATTTAAAATAGCAAGATTGATATCAAGATCATTTGTAATTAAGTTAATTTTAGCCACCATTTTTGAACAATCTTTTGATGTTTTAATAAACTAAAATAGAAAAAATCAATAAAGATGTTGTAAAATAAAAAATTATATTTAATTTAGGTTCTGAATTAAAGCATGATCTCAGTCTCAAATAAACTTATAGCTAGAAAATTGGAGTTAAATTAAGAGACGTCTAAAATTTAATAGAATATTATCGAAACGAAAATTTGGGACTTTTCTATAATTGACGAATTTGATTGAGAATTCTTAAAGGACCGCGAGATTCTTCTAATGTAGTTTTGTTTTCTATGGTATCGCTTATTAGTGTCATTATTAGAGGAAGGATTTATGTTGAAATATATATTTTTCTTCCTAAATAGTCGCCCAATCTATTTAGGAATTTTTAACAATATTTAGCGAGCCCTGTTCATTATCCGTGCCCTAATCATTATATTCTTGTGCACGTACATAAAATCTTACATTTATAACAAAATCAAAAAGTTCTGGACGGTCAGTACATACTAAAATGACTAATTTAAATTTGTCTCCATTCATTAAAATTTTGCTTGAGATATCCACAGAATCTTCAGTATTTTTTACATGAGAAAAATCGATATAAAGCTCATAGCAGATTAAATGATTCACAGCAAATTTTAATAGATCTCTGCTATTGTAAGCAAAAGGCTTTAGAGACGATGACTTAACATAAAATTTCTTGAGAATTTTAGCATTTCCAAATAATAATTCAATCAAATCTGGATTGAAGATGAATTTATCGAAGATTCCCTGTACAAAAGAACAATTAAATAATCTATCCAAATAATAATGAACAATTTTCATTTGGTTTTTGTTTTTAATAATAGTTGGCAGTTGTAGTTTAATATCTATAAAAATTTTAATTTAGACGAAAATATTGAGATTTTCTAGTCCTTTTTAACAGTCAACATAAAAAAGGAATGGGTAATGCATCCACCAGTGCTGGGTATTTGCCATTTATTGACTCCGGCTCCAGCTCCGGAGCCGGGTGGAAAATTAATGGGGGTGGAAAATTAATCCGGGTGGAAAATTAATGAATTATTTTTCATTGGGGAGGGGGGTGGGAGTTTTTGGTAGATAAAGAGTCTAGCTCCGCCGGAGCTGGCTCCTGAGCTATTTCCCGGAGCCATACCCAGCACTGGCAACCACTTTTTTCTATCGTTTATCCGGTGTTACAATTCCGGATACGCACGCGCGGATGCGACGATTGCGGACGACAATTGCAGATTAGAAATTTTTAAATGATTGAAAAGATATCCCGTTTTTTACTCCCGGCTGTCAGTTTCGAGCTTCTGACGGTTTCCAAATCATTTTAGACTGATATGGCACTGAAAACTTTAAAAAAATTTTTCAAATTTTATATCCGTAATTGTCGTACTATGCCTTTACATTATATTATCATATATAGGATCTTAATTATTTTTGGATTATATATTCAGTTTTGGAACTAATGCTGAGGGGGTACACCCCGATGTACCGCGAGCTGTAACTTTGTTCAAAATTGTCGAACCAGTGGCGCCCTAAAATGGTTTGATGCGGCTCGACAAGCTGAACCAAAACATACCAGGGCGCCATGGATTTGACAATTTAATAGAAAATTATAGCTCGGCGGTACATTGGGCTCGCGATACACTGGCCTGCTCCCCTAATGAGGATGTAACTGGTAGAGTTTCACCGGAAGTTCCGGTTCCGAAAAGTTCCGGTGTTTTTTTGGTTCCGGTTCCGGGAACCGGAACTCAAATTGGTTCCGGCTCCGGTTTTCAAATTGGTTCCGGGCAAACCGGAACTTTTTTACACCCCTAAGGATTTGTTTTTTTAAAAAAATTGAAAGAAATATGTTTATTTTCTTTCAGTTGATTCAATATAAGCGGTGGCCGAGTGGTTAAGGTCTTAGACTTCATCCATGGCGTGAATGATTTAAAGATGGGTTCGCTTCCGAGGCATAGGACAATTAGTTTGCATGTTTTTCTTTCCATAAAAACTTATTTTATAAGTTTAGAAATTTGTTTTAAAAATTATTTTATTTTTACATGGAGTAATTATGGTTTTTTGGCCCTCTAAATTTATTAAAATTTTTAGTTTGACTTATAAATAGTGAATGTTTTTGCTTACGGCCTTCCTAAATTTTCAAAAATTTCGCCTGCGGCGCTGAAAAAGAAGAAATTTGGCTTCTTGTCCTCACAGATTCTCAAAATTTTTCGCCTGCGGCGCTTAAAAAAAAGTTGAATGTTATATCGGAAGATGTGGATGGATTAATTTGGATTTCGAGTTATATCATGATTTCAAACGGTCATAGGTTATCGTGGATTTGGGTGTGATATCGAGGAATTGAGTAGGTAGAGATGGGATTTTCTTGCAATTCAGAACCTTTTTATCGCCCGATATCAAAC